AGTTCTTAACCATCGCGCCACTCGGCCGGCCCGCCTGACTTAAGTTTTGATTGTCCAGTCATCCAATAAACACATTGCCAGCCACCCAATTAGATAAACAATCAGGCTGCCCCACCCACTTGTTTTAGAGCTCTTCCTTGATTTTGATAACTGACCACTTGGACTACTTGTTTTTTTCTCTTTCTAAGCTTTAAATTCCTGTTCTTTTCATTTTAAATGCAACAGCATAGATTGAGCCCTTGAAACTGTAGGTCCCCGCTCTTGACCCGGATAAAAGTGAACGCCAGGTCCGAGATATCCATCTGCTCCTCCCTCCCTCCCTTCCTCTCTTCCTCCCTCCCTCCCACCCTCCCTCTTGTTCTACCCCTGACCTCACTGTGTGGCCCTAGGTGTGTCCTGTGCTTCCCAGAAACTGTGAGTAATATGTTTTTCCCATTTGACACACACAACCATGTGGTGAGACTAGTTCTTGTGTCTATTACATAGACAAGAAAAGTGAGGCTTAGAGAGATTCAGTGACTTGATCATGGTCACACAATTTGTAAGACTGACTTGTAACAAGTTTTTTTTTTTGTTTTTTGGTTTTTTTTTTTAGCTGAGCCATCCTGCCACCTGTTGGCAGCTCAGCGGCAGCTCAGCTCGGGCCAGGAATCGAATCGGCGACCCTGTTGCTCAGAGATCACACTCTTGAGCGAGCTCTTAACCAACTGAGCCACTTGGCTGGCCCCATCAAGTTTTTTTGACTCAGAATCAAAGGACCTTATTACTGTGCAGGTGCAGCTGCCTCCTATGGCAAATATGTAAACAGCTTTGGAGAAGTTATGAGCTGTCCTAAAGGTAACAAGACAATCCACTAGCCAGACCCAAGGGTCTTGGGCATAAGATCGGTAACTCATATGATGAGAACATTAACTTATTGAGGCTTCATGTGAGCTGACCCACAGAACTAACAGATTCAAAAAAAATATTACTACAGAAGCCTTTACTTGCTTTTTATCAGAACAATGATTGCACAATACTGGCCATGTATGTGATATACATGAGCCAGAAACTTCAACAGAAAAAGAAGGAAACTGTATAATACAGTAAGATATGAGTATCTATTTCTTATTTTGTTTTTATGAAAAAGTACAATAACCTTTTATTTCAATTGTATCATCCCCCACTTACTGACCTATAATTGATTTTGAAGAAGGTGCTATGATTGACATATCTTTGCAATATTTTCATAATTGAGTACAGTTCCTGGCACAGAGCAGTGTTTGATGGGTTCTTGTTGCATGAATCAGTGCTGAGAAGTACCATATATGGGTTATGCTATTCCTCCCTCTTGTTTCATATCATTATTCCTAAGGCTATAGATAAAAGGGTTCATCATGGGGGTACAGATGACAGTGACCACACAATCCTTTGTCACTGAGTATGTGGACGAGGGGCAAATGTACACGGATGTGATGGTCCCATAGAATAGTGTCCCAGTAGTGAGGTGAGATCCACAAGTGGAGAAGACTTTGTACCTGACTTCCCCAGAAGGGACCCTCAGAATAGCATGGTTGATACAGACGTAAGAGACAATAATGAAGACAAAGGGACTTGTGACCACAAAGGAGCCTTCTGTGAAGGCCAAAAGCTCATTGATGGAGGTGCGAGAGCAGGAGAGCTTTAGCAGTGGCTGGACATCACAAAAGAAGTGGCGGATGATGTTGGGCCCACAGAAGGAGAGGCGGGCCATGAGAATCATGTGGGTGAACGAGTAGAGGTGGGACACCACCCAGGATGCTATCAGCAGCAGGAGACAGCGCCTGGGGTTCATGGTCGTGGTGTAATGCAGTGGGTCACAGATGGCCACACAATGGTCAATGGCCATGGCGGCCAGGAGGAAGCTGTCAGTGATAGCACAGGTCATGAAAAAATACATCTGGGTGAGGCACTGGGCAAAGGGGGCACTCTTGTTCAGCATGTTTTCCAGCATTTGAGGCACAATGACATTTGTAAAGCAGATGTCCATAAAGACAGGTTGGAGAGGAAGAAGTACATGGGAGTGTGTGTGGGGGCATCCCCCCAGATAGCAGCAATGACGACTGAGTTGCCAGTCACACTGACCACATACATGGCCAGGAAGCTGGCAAAGAGCCACACCTGCTGTTCGGGGTCACTGGTCAGTCCCAGAAAGAAGAATTCAGTCATGTGGCTCTGGTTTCCCCTTGGCATTGGTATCCTGCAAGTAGGAAATAGGAAGGAATGTTAGGCGTGTGTCGGGCTTGGAGTATCCAGTTGTTACAACTTGTATGAGTGGCTGGTATATGGTATATTGACAGGAGTATGGCTTTGGGTGTCACATAAGTCTGGCTTTTCATTTTGGCTCTATCACTGAATAAATGTCTGAAAATTGCTTTGTAAATGAGTAGGTGGTACATAAGTACTAATGATATAAATAATGTACAATGTCTGACAATTAAGTTTGAGAACTTTTGCAACGATGTTGCTTTTTTTGACATCAGAGGGATTATTCATTATGAATTTGTCCCAACTGGACAAACAGTTAACCAAGTTTACTATTTGGAAGTGCTGAAAAGGCTGCATGAAAAAGTTGATGAAGACAACCTGAATTTTTTGCCAACAATTCATGGCTCCTGCATCACAACAATGCACCAGCTCATATGGCACTGTCTGCGAGGGAGTTTTTAGCCAGTAAACAAATAACTAGTATTGGAACGCCCTCCCTACTCACCTGATCTGGCCTTCTGACTTCTTTATTTACCCAAAGATAAAGGAAATATTGAAAGGAAGACATTTTTTTTTAATTAAAAAAAA